TCAGTGCATTGTGATAAACGAGAAACAACATAAGGTGAGACTTAGCTTTTGTTTGAGACAATTTTTTTTAGTACTGATGCATCACCAAAAATAAACTTGATCGAGCACAAATCTCGAAGCATCTTCAAGTTGAAAACTTTCAATATTAAATTCGGGCCATTCAAACTCTAATTTCAACAAGCTTATAATCAAACTGAACGTTTCAATGAGACGAACCTAACGATGCCAAAATCAGTCCAATCTAAGCCCAAATATGTCCAAATTAATCAAGGGATCGAAACACATTTAGAAGGTTCAAAGCATAGATTGGATGGTCAGATAATATCCACGTATAGATTTCTTATAGTTCTCGACGAGATGAATTCTCAAGATCACTTAATTCTGACATCATTATGATACTTAAATGCTTGATGAATGCTCTATAGCCAATGGGATCAATATGGGCCGTCCGATGGAGCACTATGAATCTTCCCCATATCTTCTCCATAATTATGGGGCATGCTACTATAAAAAATCTATAAATAAACTCTCAGGCTTAGACCTTTTGTTTGAGATTGGAGAGTGAGCTCTAAGGCTTCAAGGATCTATAGCTCCACCCAATTAAGCACCATCGCCGCGAACTTCCATCGACCGCCGCTAGGTTCTCGCTCGGTCGCCGACTGTCATCGTATTTTAACTCGACCATTGCTGGACCACTACCCGACCATCGTCGAACTACCACCCGGTTGCCAACCGTCATTGGACCACAGTTGCCGGCCTACTATGGTCCCTCTTACCTTTGTTGCCCGTCGATTACGGTCCCTCTGACCCCCGTTGTCCTTTCGGATATGATCCCTCTGATCTCTGTCACTTGTCGACTATGGTCCCTCCTATTGAGGCTTTAAGGATAATAGAGTTGAACCTAGGCACCACCGCAGGTGAACTTCCATCGACCACCGCCTGATCGCCGACCGTCAAGGGGCTACCACTCGTCTATAGACTGTTGTCGGACCACTGCCTGCCCGCTGAATGTCGTTAGAACTCTGCGCGGCCGTTGACCATTGCCGAACCACATCCCATTCGCCGATAACCATCTGACCTTAATTAATCCTCCTACCTTCGTCGGACTCTAACCACTGTTTCCCAGAGTACAGTCCCTCCGAACACTGACATCCGTCAACTACGGTTCCTCCGACAATCGTTGCCCACCAACTACGGTTCCTTTAACCTCGGTCATCTGTCGACTACAATCAATCCAACCATCATTGTCCATTGACTATGGTCCCTTATACTTTCGTCACCCATCAACTACGATCTCTCCAACCTTCGTTGTCCATCGACTACTATCCTTATGACATCCTTTTCTCACCGAACATGATCTCTCCGACAACCGTTGCCAGCCAACTACAGTTCCTCTAACCACCATTGTCCATTGACTATGGTCCCTCAGACCTCTGTCACTGTTGTATAATGTCCCTCCTATAACTGTTGCCTAATGATTAGGGTCCGTCTGACCTCCACTGTTCGCCGACTACTATCCGTCTAGCCTCTATCACCCATCGAGTATGATCCCTCCGACCACCGTCGTCCATTGACTACAATAATCATACAACAGTCGCCTACCAACTATGATCCATTTGACCTCGATCTTCCATCAACTATGGTTCCTCTGACCATCATTGCCCACCAATTACAGTCCCTCAGACCTCTGTCACTTGTAGACTACGGTCCATCCTACAATCGTCGCCCGCTAACTACAGTCCATTTGACCTTGGTCACCTGTTGACTACGGTCCCTCTAACAATCGTCGTCCGCTAACTACAATCCCTCTAACCACCATAGCTCACTGAATACTGTCCCTCCGACCTCTGTTGCTCACCAACTACGGTTCCTTCAACCACCGTCACCCAACTACGGTCCTACCGACCAAACGAGCAGGACAACACTTTACTAACAACAACTATCATGTCACTAGATTCTTCCAACTCTAATGATGCATTGTGCTTTATATGATTTATATTTGTAACATTGAGCCAACACCCCTTCTCTTGACCAAGGGCATAACATGCAATCAATTGCAAATACTAGTGAATTTTACAACTGCACAATGCCTCTTTTTAGGGGTTTCCACATAAAAACTCTTGTGTCTCTTTTGAATACTGCACTCCTCTCTTTTTTTATGTTCATGTGTTAGATAGTACAAAGCTTGGATGTTAAACCCTATATCTCTCTATTCCAGCGAATGTTCCAACCAGCAACAAGTACAAAAGTTTTTAAACTATAAATTTTGTAATAGAATAATTTCTTTAGAAAACAGTAAGAAATCTATCCCAAACAAAACCTTAGGCCTCATCTGAGAAAGCTTTCTTACTACATTGCTTTTTAGATCATAATTACAGTTTATATTTGACAACTACTATTTTACATTACTTTGAAAAAAATTGTGCTAAGATGCTACTTTTTATATAAACTTAAAAAAAATGTTTCCCCCACAATAATTTTATAATCATTTATATAAATTATAAAAATTACGGCCGTCCCAAATAAATCTCAAGCATATATGCTTTCTGAGTCTCACACCATGCATTGCATAATTAACTAGTTGTTGAGTAGCTCAGAAAGTTAAATGAGTAATAAATATAAATCCCTAAGCCAACTAGTTAGAAGTTTATCCAATGTTAGAACAACTAACAAAAAAAAAATATTATCACAGTGAGGCCATAGAAGGAGATCTTAATTCTTGGATTCTTTGCATTGGGTAGAATTGGCCTTCGCTTGATTGTTTCCATGTCAGAATAGTGCTTGTCTCCTTGTTTTAATTGGTAACAAATTACTGTCATTGATCTTAAAAACCTCAGTGAGGAACTACTGAGCCCTTTTCATCTTTGCCTTCCACGTTTTCCCATGTAGTTTAACCTTGATTGGATTTTCAAAAGTAGGCTGATATTTTGTGCTGGAGGAATTATCTTATTGGAATCACTTGAATTTTAGGTTTCATTTGGGATAGCTTTTGAACGCAATTTTTTTTCATTGCATGCAACACTTTTTTTAACTAAAAAGTTGATATAAAAATCAATAAAAAAAATTGTTCTAAACGAAATCTTAGCAGAATCAAAACACATTATTTTGTTTGAACTCAAAGAAGATTTATAGAGTTATACTTATTTCTGATAAATTTGATGGTGATTGTGAGAAAATATGACAGTGTTCTTAATTTAGTTATTTCAGCTCCCGAATCTCAGCCACGTACGTAGGATTAAAATGAAACTTTATTTATAGCTTTTTTTGAGAGGGATGCTTTGATAAAATTAGTACGCAAAATTTATAGACCATTTGATTCAAAACCCTCCACGACGTGTTGAATGGTAGATCCTAGATTATTATCCCGTACTTGAGTGTCTTGATAATGTTATAATCAAATGATCTCGAGCTTGTTGGATTCAACTCGTTGTACCATTTAATTTGATTATAAGTATGTAATATTTATAGATAATTTGATTCTTCAATATCATTAAGTTCATTTGGACACAATCATATCACTTGGGATGTCGACTAACAAAGAAGGCATTTTCATTCATTTAATATAATTACTTAGTTTATTAAAAAAATTATAAATTCATTATAAGTCATGTCATGAAATAATCTTTTTCATTCATTTTTCCTATTAATTTCGACTAACATAGAAGAGAGAAAATATAATAGAGAGATAGAAAAAGCTAGGACTTAATTGGAGACTGTGAAGCGATTTTCGTCAGTCGGACATGTTGGAAGATTTGCTCGTCTTGCTGTATGGAAGCTTTACCCTATTTCTAATTTCAAGGATTTTATGTTTTTAATATTTTTTCGATCAAATTTATGTAGATCATGAGTATTATATATGATTTATGGGATTGAACAAATATACACAACATCCAATGGAAGACAAATCAACCGACCGTCCGGTTCAATTCAACCGGTTGAATGGGCCGATCCAATACAATTTTTAAAACCTTGATAAAAACTATAAAAAATTGCCCACACCTTAACTTTGACAAGAAGTCAGCGTTTCTAGCCAAATTCCCACAGTCAAGTCGAAGGACATAAATATTTTGGCATTAATCTCTGCCTAGCCGTCACAAGTCTGAAAACACCCATCTACTTTTAAATTTATACAATAACTTCATTAAAAATTAATTAAGTAAAAGAAGTATTATTATAAAAAATTAAAAGGTGCAAAGACACTAATTTAATTAAATTTTATAGAAAATGCTAATCAAGTTAGTATTTTATTAAGAAATTATTAATTAGATTAGCATTTTCTTAAAAATTTAAAATATATCATGCAAGGTTTTAAAATTTGGATCGGACCATTCAATCGTGAGTTGATCATAAAGCCGATTCTATCCATTCAGAAAACACTTCAGCATCAAATAGCCTAGAATCGACACGGTTCCTTTGAATCAGCCGACTCAATTGCCTATTTGATTTAATAATTATTATAAGATCATATATATTGTTTGAAATTGGGTTGTTTATTAAAAATCCAAGCTCTCACCACATTCTTCATTCTTGTAAGCAAAATGCAAGAATTTTAATTATACATTATTTATTTATTAAATATTAAACAGAATTTTGTAAGAAAGCATCAATCTAATTAGCATTCTTTAATAAAATGCTAATTAAATTATTTTTTTGGTATTTTATTTTTTTAAAAAATATTGCTCTTTGTCTTAATTAATTTTTAATTAAGCTATTTTTAAAATTCTGCCAATACAAATCCATTATCCGCATAAACCGTCGACACGTGCGGGGGGTTGGTAATACCGACGGTTGAAAGTCATTAGCATCGCGAATCTAACGGAGGAAGTTGGGCGATGCATAGACTTTTTCTATGCGGAGCCAGAATTACCGCAATGATGTCACTCCACCGGTCGGTCCACCGTAGGCGTAGGGTATGGAGGGAAGGCCATTGCCCCGAAAGCCGGGCATCAGCTTTCTAATTTTAACCAATGAAAACATGCCACGTTAACAGAAATCAATTGGTCAGTTTAACACGTGGCTCTCCGCACCGGATTCCCTGCGACCTTTTATAGGAGCCAGTCTCTCGCCCCCCTGCTCATTCAAAACATTTATCGTTTCTCTCTCTAGGGTTTGTGCATGGCTGCATGGGCGATCTCCGCTTCTCGTCTCTCAGGTGAATGCTTACTTCTTCCGCAACCTCTAATCTATTATTAGCTCGGGCGTTAGAGGGTAGAACTTCAATTTCTTGATTGCTGTTCGATGTCTCTTGAGTTCATCTGGTATTTCATTCCTTCGTTTTTTTTCCTATTTCTGTCCCCTTCACTAATACCCGGAATCTATTTCTGGAAGAGGAGATTCTTCTCTTGGTTTCAGTATTTGATCTTTGAATATATGGATTTTGAATGAGGAATGAAGTCCTATATTTGGAGTAATGGTTCTTATTATCCATTTGATTAATTCAAGGGAGGATTTTATTTTCTAATTAATCGAAGAGGACCTTATGGTTGAGGTTAGTGCGGGAGTCTATTTAAATTATCCAAGATCTTCGTTGGTATACGTGGCGACTGAAATATTTTTTTTTACTGCCGATTTTTTCTTTATGATCGTTTGTCTGATGGTGATCAGGTTCTCTTTCTTAACATCTTAGGATTAGCAGGCTTGTTTCTTAGGAGAGATGTTGCAGTTAGCCTTCAGAACTGGAATGCGTTACTTCGATTGCAAAATGAAATGTTGTGAGGTGGACATTTGACGATACATTATTTATGGGATTAAGAATTTCGAATTGCATGCGGTAGCTTAAAACTTTTTTATCTGGTAGATTTTTCTTAGCCTTATTAGCCCTTTTTGTTTCGCTGCTTTTCACAACCTTTGAGGTAATTGGTAAGGCTGCTTTACACAACCTTTAAGGTAATTGGTAAGGCGTATTGTCTGAAAATATTGGGTGTTTTTGTTTTAGATGAACTTAAATCTCCATAAGAGGTGGCTATCTGATGTGATTCTACAGCCGAGTGACTGCAAGAGATATAACGAAAAGAGGCTCAGGCTTCATTTTTCTTATAATATGAAACTATTACGATTTTAGGTCATATTATAGTGAGCACTTGAGTTTGTCTCTGAATTTTATGATGCTGAAAGCACAGTTTTTCCATCCAAGGCCAAACTTATTTATATGCTATGAAGGTCAAGTTCCTTGAATATTCAAACTTTCTTTGAAAGTTAGGACAAAAAGCTTCGTTGATAGTAGAAAGTAAAATTTTTTATGGTGACCTATGACATTTTTTTTTTTCTGGTGGAGAGAAGGTGCTTAACAGGAAGTGTGTATTTCTCACAAAATTTCATGAAAATTTATTTTCACTGTAGAAAAAAATCCAAAGGTGGAAATTGGAGTTTCCAATACTTATAGTGATTAGAAAAACAGAATAAGAATAGTAAGAGGAAGCCCTACTTCCTCATACTTTTCTTTCTTTCATGAGTAAATTAACGGCTGCTTGATTGTTCTAATTTTTGGGGATTTTACTCTCTGTCGGGAGGAAGCATGTTCGAAGCCATATAATTGTTATTTTTTGTTCAACATTCTCAGAAGAAAAAAAAAAAAAGTGAACTTTTGTTTTGTTTTATATGTTTATTTGAAATTCCAAGCTCCCTTGTCTATAAACAAATAGTTAAGGCCATAATGAGATGGTGATTACCTTGTGACATCTCTTAGACCAAATTCCAAACTCCAACTATAAATTGAGAAACCTTTTGTCATAAGTTTATGGTTGACATTTATTGGGATACTAATGTAGGATAGTATGATGGATGCTAATGCAGGATAGTTAATGTTTTAGGATCTCTAATAAAATGTAGGATATTATGTGTGATGAAACACTTAAAATTTTAAATTTACATGATATTAAACCCTTAATTTTAACAAAAATACATCGCTTTTAATATAAAAACAAATAAAATGCTTCATTCATTTCAGAAGATAATTTATTAACCATCAAAATTTTCAAATTCTTCAAGAAAATAATGACATAATATAATATTTCGACAAAACTCTAGTCATACTTGAGAAGAAGATCATGTATCTTAATTAAATTCCATTTGCACACACAAATCATGACTAAACAAAGTAAAAAGGAGCAAGGATAGGAATTATCCTAAAAGAAGAATAAAAGAAAATAAGAATAACGAGTATCACCTTTGAAAGTAGTTGGCTACACTTGTGAAGAACTCAAAGAATGCACATCCAATAAGAACATGCAAGAATAGAATAAAACTTCTTTTTTTTCAATACTCAATACCCACTGAATTTTTCATTATTTAGGGTTCTCATTAATGGACCCAAAATAAGATAATTCATAGAATCTGTAAACGTGCAGTCAATTGATTCTTTATTGATTTCAGCAGTAGAAATCCTTCCATAAAATCCAATTTCTGATTTGGAAAGTCTAATGAATGTTTTGCATAGGAAGGAAACAGCACCAAAACGATGAACAAAGAGAAGTATAAGAAATATTAGATTGCTGGACTATTAAAGAGCGAGTAATGGAGATGGCATGAGATTTTAGAGTGTGTAATGGACACAACTGGTGCAGGAACAACAACATTTCTTGAAGGCGGTAGTACAGGTAGCGACAATTCCTGAAGGTGACAACCACTAGCTTCTTGGAGAAGTGTAAATGGGGTAATTGCTGAAGGTGATAAACAATGAAGACAGATGGAACAATGCAACAGCAGGAATGATAACGGCCATACATAAACAAGGACAACAATGGGAAGTAGAAACAATCACAATTGACGAAGTAGTAATGATTATGAGCCCTAGTCAAAACCTTTCAAGTAATGAAAAAATCATGCCAATGGATTTCAAAATACTAGAGAATACATCTTATTCATTTTGGAGTTGTATCATATGCATATTTTGCACTTTATGAACTAGGAAACACAAACTTAGAATCAATGCACATGAGTTGCATGCCCAATGAACACATACTTGGATTTGTATCAGATAATTTTTGGCTTGTTGATTGTTTTCGCATTTGATCTGTCAATATTTTTTTCTGGTGCATCTTTTTAATTTTTTTATTAATAAAATTCAAGGTCTATTTATGCTAATTGCGAGTATTTGTTAATTGCGGAATATATTGTTTCATTTTCAACTTAAGGGGCTATAAAATAGATAATGGTCAACTGCCTTAAGTTAACTCCTTGACGGCATGTCCTGTATGCAATTCTTAGTGTTATTATTGTAAAATATGAGTTTTTGGTTGATTTTGGGCATTGCTGTAAGAATTTTTATTTATTATTTTAAGTTGCAAAAATGACTGATATCTAGTTACTGAGATGCTCTGTAGTTGTCTGGTCAAAAGCTCATAGCAAGAATTTTGCTGGACTTTTTACTATATTCTTGACCTGGAATGCTCTTATGCATTTCTCATGTTTTCTTGCTATCTTAATGTTATGCATTTATATTAGAAATAAGAAAAATTTAAGATTGCGGTAGTTAAAGGGAAGGCAAGCTAATGAGTCATATAACTAACTTAAGGGAGAATAATGGAAAATTGATTTAAGGAAATCACATCCTATCAGATAACTAATTTGATTTTATTATGTGTAGATCTACGGCAAAGTTGATTTTTTTTTTGGCTAAGGAAACTGATGAAAATGTATAGAAAGCAAAGAGGTTTTTATGTCTTTTTTTATTTTACTTTGATAAAGCTTATGTTTGGGTGCTACAAGACATGCTTTAATGTATATTATGGAGAAAATTATTTTTAATGGGCAAGTATGTTAATGCTATTAAAAATTATTTTTAATGGGCATTAGTAAGCTTTATGGGGTAATGAAAGAATTCGTTGTTGTAGCAAGAGTTCATCTAAGATCAATAATAAGTTTGTATCATTTTAATTGGTTAGAACAACGTAGAGAATTAGAAGATAAGAGGCTTATGATTAGTAAAATGAGGATTAAGTACTTCATATGTGAGAAAAATTGGTTGAGTATTTCTTTTCAACAATTATAGTATTTTTACAATCCTAGGAAAGCTAATGATAGGAAACATACAAAGTTAGAGAATAATAATTGCAAAAGTCTATGGACTGACAAGCAATCATAATAATAATAATAATATTATCATTACGATAGTCCATTTATTCATGAGGTGGAAGTAATAATTTCACATATCACTTAGGTGGCATGGAACGAATAAGAAACGTGGAAGATTCTTTGGCTTGGTGGAACATTTATGGAAAGAGAATTGATGAAGGTCAGAATTGATGGGACTTTTTTTCACACTTCTCCCCAAGCTAATGAATGGAATATTATTGTCCATAAAAAATGTTAAGTTTTGAAATTTTATTTTTGATAATCCTTTAGTGAGAATGCCTCTAAGTTGGCTATTTATGGTAACAATGAAATACATATTAGACTATTGTCTAGCTTTTCTTTTATAAAATATTTGTCCATTTCAATATATTTTGTTAAGTCATGTTGGGTTGGATTTATTTTCAATATTAATGGTTGATTTGTTGTCACAATAAAACCCCAAAGTTCTTTTTATTCAATCTTTAAAACTTCCAAGATAATTTTCAACCTTATTACTTCATAGCTTTATGCTGTCATAGGTTAAAATTCAGTTTTTATGATAGATCTTGCCATCAAATTTTATTTTTTTTACTTCTCCAAGTCATGAGGTTACCTGCTAAAAATGTGTAATATCTTGAAATTAGTGTCTTATCAACCATAGATCCCGCATAATCGACATCCATATATGCTTCAAGTGCTAGACCTATGGCAAAGTTGATTTTTTTTGCTAAGGAAACTAATGAAAAGATATAGAAAGCAAAGAGGTTTTTATGTCTTTTTTTAATTTTACTTTGATAAAGCTTATGTTCGGGTGCCACAAGACATGATTTAATGTATATTATGGAGAAAAATATATTTAATGGGTATGTATGTTAATGCTATTAAAAAAATGGGCATTAGTAAGCTTTATGGGGTAGTGAAAGAGTTTGCTGTTGTAGTAAGATTTCATCTAAGATCAATAATAAGTTTGCATCATCTGTATTGGTTAGAACAATGTAGAGAATTAGAAGATAAGAGGTTTATGACTAGTAAAATGAGGATTAAGTACATATGTGAGAAAAATTGGTTGAGTATTTCTTTTCAACAATTATAGTATTTTTA